CATATCTCTTTTTCTCTCTCTCTCTATATATATATGTATATAGTGGAATGAAATCTGGTTAAAAAGAGGATTCTTACCTTTCATGGTTCATGAAAATAAGTTTTACCTTCCTTAGGAAACAAATATTTTTCTGAAAGTAGTAATTTTCAGAATGTGTGGGAGACCAGACCTTAATGATTTCGTTGGCCAGAAAAGATAAACAAATCGTTTTCTTAAAAGAATACATAATGTTTCTTGATATCAGAGACATTTTTCTTTGTGGTATGTATATAACCAAAGGAGGAAATTTTTTCTTACGCAGAGTTATCTGCCAAAGGAAGTGTAAATTTTCAAATGAAATTTACATATGAATTATTCTGTATTTATATGTGATGCATGTGAAAATTTCCATGCGATTTTCTTTTGGCATGTGAGAAAGGCAGAAATGGTTTCTTTTGAAAAATTTCGAGAACTCCATAGCCTGTCTTTGGCGAAATGCTCGTCATTTTAGTAGAATGTTATGTAAACGTGATTTATCAGCTTTTTTTAAATCAGAATAAAAGAAAAATCCTGGATTATATTAAATGTTTATTTACAATAAAGAACTTAAAAGTTAAAGAAATTTCCTTCTTTTAACGAAATCTAAATAAATAAAAATGTCGAGTTTCCCACTTTAAAATCATTTTATAACGCAAAGAATCTAAATTTTGAACACCATTTAAGTATTTTGGCATTTTTTAGACTGAAACTGCTAAAACATTTCTGAAGCTATTTACTCTTTTATGCATTTTCAAAGACACATCAGACATGAAAACGAATTACGGAATATGTTAATCTACAGTAGAAAATCTTAATTATGCTTCTGTTTTCTTAACTGAAATTGAAATCCTTTTAGCCATTATAAGGGAGATAATATCAGTCATTTAGTTCCAAGAACGACACGTTTGGTGTAAGTGCTAGTAGTATCAGTGTCAGAAAGTATGTATTTCTACAGTTTAATTTCATGCTTGAAAATATTGTTGAAATAATATGCAAATACGATCGCTGAATCCACAGAAGAAACTACAGAATGCGAAGGGAAATTAAAAAGCAAAACATTTCTCTACACTGGTGTGCAAAAATTAAGGATGAGACGGTTTTTTCAATATAACTTTGTACAAAAGCTTTCCAAATCAACACATTTAATACCGTAACATCCCCAATACGTAAGGACGTGAGTAATGTAAGCAACACTTATAAAAGAAAATCAGAGAGATAAAAGAAGCTTACTGAAAAGTAGCATGGAGCGCAATGCGACTGAGGCCGAAACATCCCTGTGATGGTGTCCAACAAGAAAATCCGGTGTTTAATAGGGGATATGATCTCCCCTGACTGCTAGGCAAGTTCACAGCGTCTGCCATGCTGAGATGAGGGTGTCAATGAGTTGTTGAGGCATTGCTGCCCCATTCGTCTTGCAGCGCCAATCGAAGCTCCGGAATCGTAACTGTGGTAAGGTAAGAGCTGCCAAGCGTCTGCTATAAATCCCATACATGCTCGATGGGATTGAGATCCGAGATCGTACCGGCCAAACCATACGTTCAATATCCTCACTCTCTAAGAGCTGTTAGGCAGCTACTGTGCGATGACATGGTGCATTGTCGTCCATGAAAAGGAACTGCGGACCCATAGCGCCTCTAAAAAGACGCACATATGGAAGAAGAAATACGTTACAATAACGGGTCCCATTGACTGAACCTGCGTCGAAGATGTGAAGGTCTGTACGACTACCAAGCATGAGCTCCGAAACGAAAACACCGCCACCTCATACCTATTCCTTTCAATGATGTTCGAGGGAGATTGCGGCTTCCCGCTCTCTCCAGATGAGATGCGATGAGAATCGCTACTCAGACTGAATCTGCCCTCATCTGTAAAGACTACTCGTCCCATTCATTGTCTCTCCAATTCCGGTGTTTCCGGCACCACAGAGAACGCCTTCTCCGATTGGCAGGCGTTAGAGGCACACACCGTACAGAGCGTCGTGCAAACAGACCACCACAGTGCAGTCTTCTGGCCACGGTAAAACGCGATATCGGTCGTCCAGTCGCCTGTGTCGTGTGTCTAGCGATTTCTCCCGCTGTTTGCCGCCTGTTTCTTCTGGCCTGTAACGTAATATACCGGTCATCTGCGGGTGTGGTTCCTCGTGGACGACCACTACTAAACCCCCGGATAGCAGTTCCTGTAGTTTGAAATTGTCTCCAAAGTCGTGAAACGATGCTGTGAGCGATTCCGAACTCTGCAGCCCCACTTGTCACACTGCGGCCTTCCTCCAACTTCCCAATGATTCGACCTCGGGTAAAAAGCATCCAGATGTCTCTAACAGATTGATTATTTCGCCATTTCTCGCTGAGCGGCAACTCGGTGTGATTTTAACTGCTATACGCGTGCATCTCTTTGCCAGAAAACTGATCTTACACCGACAACATGCTTTATTACTCAGACACTTCCCCATTACGTCTACCTGCATATCTGCGCATGTGCTACCGTACATCGCCTTACTTAATCTCCTGATTGGTCTTTCTGTCCGCTCTGCCTCTTCGTTCAGCTGATATGCTAATTTTTCGACTTCGTCCTTAATTTTTGCACACCAGTGTATTTTAAATACAAAAATTTATACAGTGGATGTAGTAGTATACCGATGATGTGAAGTTGCTATATGGTTTACTTTTCGACTTTGGTAAGTCCTTGTAAAAGGTAGCTACAGCTGTAAAACTTCTAGTAGTGGTTCGTAATGGAAACTAATTGACACATCGCAATAGAAACTGCAAAAGTACATGCAGGTACGCCAGATGAATCCACAGAAGAAACTACACGCGACAAATGCAATAAAGGTATCAATTTTATGCATGCTGCCTTCTTGAACAATTTGGTATATGCAGCTCAATATGCTGATGAAAATAAGCGTAAATAAGCACCAAAACTTTTATTACAACAGAAAAGTTTAAATTGAGATAACAGTAAATGTAACAAGTCAAGCATCAGAATTTTCAGCCCACACTAATTTTATTAATCCTTTCGTTATTTCAGCTTGATTGTTTGTAGCACAGAATTCTTTTAATACTTCCCGATGCGTTTGAAATTAAAATACATTAATTTTTTTACATGTGAACTTGTATTTAGTTCTGAAATTCCAGAGAAACTATTAAGTCGGTACTTGATTCTAATTGACACATCGCAATTCAAACTGATGAAATATATTTTTCCACCCAGGCGAAAAGAAATCGAAACCTCACAGTGGGCAATGTAACTCATCAGTTGTGAGGGCAACAGATCTGTTCGCCCACCGTGAATCGTATAGAGCGCAATCTTCCGTACCATTTGCAGTAGCCTATCAGTGTGAACACTTCTAATGGTGTAGACAACCCAAATACTGGAATCCTCTTCATAGCTGACGCGTAATGTTTACCACTTAAAATTGTTTCAATGTGTAATTGGATTCTGCACCTACGTATAGACAAAAGTATGCATACGCGTTTCTTCCAATAACATCAGGGGGAGAGATCTATTGAAAGTGTCCGTATGGCTTGTAGACGGAGTCACTATCAGTAAGGTAGGGACGGAGCCTCCACATTTTCAACAGAGATTAATTTGACATATGTCGTTACTGTGGTGAGGTTTTTCTCAACCATGTACGTTTTAACGGTAACTCTTTACAGCTGAACGTTCCCTTTACGGCTGACAAAATATGGCTACATGTAACTCACGCTGTCAAACTGGCCTACGGAAGTGCAGGTATCCACAGAATGAGTTAGCCAGTGTGCTTCCAACATATACTTATATGCTTACATCATAGCATGTGTGGAATACTTAAAAGGAAATTCCTGCAGCATGATCTCAGCTTCCGACATCTCACCTGCGTAACTGGAAGAGCTGCTTCTTCGAAAATCGAAAATGTTACCCTATGAACAGTTAGATGATTTGGTAAGCAGTATCAACAGACGGTGCAACGAATTCATTGCAGTTAAAAGAGGCCATCTCCATAAATAAGGATTTTTGGTTTATCCCTCATTCAGACAATATGTCAGTAAAGCTTTTTTTTTCTATTCGTTCTGTCCTGTCGCCACGGTGTTAATTTGTGGGTTTGTAAAACTTCATAATTTTAGGTATTATATTTTGCCGCTGTAGAGTGTATTTCATGTCTCCGACTTGCTTTTTTGCTGAAATACGGCAAAAATGGGAACCATCTGCACACCAAATGCAGATAACGATAAGAAATATTCTTCTAATCCAAATTTAACTGTTTTATAAATGTAATATTCCATATGATGTTTCTTAATTTCTTGTATGCGACAAAAAGTAAACGATTTTAGTTGACACTTTTCGACAAAAACTGCATTTACAAAATACTGAGTATATTAGCAGAATTTTAAGTAAATGATATTTACCAGTACTTAAAATACATGTTTATATATTTTGCTACCCACTGATTCCTTCAAATGTTGCATTTAAACATAGTTTTTATTAAATTATATCAATGAAACAACATTAATGTTAAATTAAAATTTATGTTAAAACAACTCCTTAGACATATGCAAATTTAAATAAAAGAAAAAGACAAGATTCTGACATTAAATCATTTTGTTATTACAAAGTCCTGAAAGTCATATTGAATCATATTACTTAATGTCAATTCACAAATTCTGCGCATTACATAAACATATTTAAGCATTTGGGTTCTATTTAGAACTTCAAACTACTTATAAATTTTAGGAAATTCTGAAACTATTTGCCTATGTATACGTGCTTAAAATTAGATCAAAATTGAGAATGAACCATTGAATATAATCAATGTACAGTAGACAGAGTTGCTAAGGGCTTTTTTTTATAATTTAATTTAGATTCTCTTTAGCCCTCATAAGGTGGAAACTATTAATGACTTAACACAAAGAATGTTGCTTTAAGCTGCTCTATTAGCTGAAAGCATTTCCTAGCGCAATTTATTCTTAGATTAAAAATAAATTTCAAATAAATATTGTTTCTCGCAGGTGCGTCAGAGGAATCCACAGAAGAACCTACATGCGACGAAAGCGAGGATGGTATCTATTTTTTCATAATTATTACAAATAATTACCTAGGTTTTGTCTATTGATAGTAATTAAAAACTGTGGTATTTTCTGAAGTGGTAAGGCATGATCCATTATTATTGCATTTAGGCATCGTATATTAACCGACGTATATACATTAGTTTAGATCTTCGCTTTTGAGTCGATACGTTAGATACATACTTACTTCTATTTAAAGTCCTAAAAATCGGGTTCGAAGAAAAATGCGCTCAATTATCTTGGGCTTCAAATGTTAGTTCACTTCTGATAAAATAATTTTTCCAATGAACCCAAATGAGTTTCCAATGAACCCAATTGAGTATCCAATGAATCCGATTGAGTTTCCAATGAAGTTGTTTTCAACCATGCACTTCTTTATCGGGAAGACTTTAGACCTGAAATTAACTTTTACGGCTGACAAAATATGGCTACATACAACTCATACTGTCGAACAGCGATTGGGAAGTCTAGGTATACACAGAATGAATTCGCCAGTGGGGCAAACTTTCTTTGTGTTAGATACTTAATGGGAGATATCTGTCTTTTCGATCTCGCGTGTTTGCTAAAATAGGCCAAAATGGGAAAAATGGCTTACCCTCTGCACACCAGTGTAGAAAACGATGAGAAATATTCTTCTTATGCAAAACTATCTGTTTTATAAATATAATATTTAATATGATACTTCTTAATTTCTCGTATGCAATAAAAAGAAAACGATTTTAGTTTAAACTTTTCCGACAAAACCTGCATTTAAGAAATGCATAATATATAAACAGAATTTTAAGTAAATGATATTTAGCAGTACATAAGATACTATTATTTGATTTATATATTTTGCTACCCGCTACATTCCTTCCAATATTGCACTTCAACATATTTTTTATTAAAGTATAACAATGAATCTAGGTCAAGGTTAAACTTATTTTAAGCAATTTGAAGAGCTAGATTAACCCCTTACTGATATGGAAATTTAAATAAAAGAAAAAAAGTATCTCACATTAAATCATTTTGTTATTACAGAAAAAATATATAAAGTCCTCAATGTGCTAATGAATCATATTATCCAAAGACGGATCTCAAACTGTGGGTATTATAGAAACATAAATTATTTGTGCTCTATTCACAACTTCAAACTTTTTCTCAATTTTAGGAAATCCTGAAGATATTTGCTTATGTTTGGGTGCTTAAAATCAGATCAAATTTAAGAATGAAATATGGAATATGATGAATTGAGAGTAGGAAGAGTTGATAAGGCTTCTTTTTATAATTTAATTTGAATACCCTTTAGCCCTCATTAGGAAGAAAATATTAATTACTTAACACGAAGTATGTTGATGTAAGCTGCTGTACTACTTGAGAGACTTTTCTAGCGTAGTTTAATTTTTAGGTTGAAATACTTTTGGAATAATTATTGTTTCACACAGGTACGCCAGTTGAATCCACGGAAGAACCTACATGCGACGAAAGCGAGGAAGGTATCTATTTTTTTTCATAATACTTACAAATAATTACCTAGTATGTCTTATGAATGTAATTAAGAACTGTGGTATTTTCTGAAGTGGTAATGTCATGATGCATTATTGTTGCATTTAGGCGTCATATATGAACCAACGTATATACATTAGTTTAGATCTTCGTTTTTGAGTCGATACGTTAGATACATACTTACTTCTATTTAAAGTCCTAAAAATCGGGTTCGAAGAAAAATGTGCTCATTTATCTGGGCTTCACAAGTTAGTTTCTCTTGTGAAAAATATTTTTCCATGAACCCAAATTAGTTTCCAATGAAACCCAATGTGTCCAATGAACCCGATGAGTTTCCAATCAAGTTGTTTTCAACCCATGCATTTTTTATCGGGAGACTTTAGACATGAACTTTCCTTTTACGGCTGACAAAATATGCCTACACATAACTCATGCTGTCAAACAACTATTGGGAAGTGCAGGTATATACAGAATGATTTCGCCAGTGGGGCAACCTTTCTTTGTGTTAGATACTTAATGGGAGATATTTGTCTTCTCGATATCGCCTGTTTGCTGAAATAGGCAGAAACGGGAAAAATGGCTTACCCTCAGCACACCAGTGTTGAAAACCATAAGAAATATACTTCTTATGCAAATCTATCTGTTTTATAAATATAATATTTAATATGATATATCTTAATTTCTCATATGCAATAAAAAGAAAACGATTTTAGTTTAAACTTATCCGACAAAACCTGCATTTAAGAAATGATGAATATATAAAGAGTTTTAAGTAAATGATATTTATCAGTACATAAGATGCATGTTTAGATATTTTACTACCCGCTACATTCCTTCCAATATTGCATTTAAACATCTTTTTTATTAAAGTATAATGAAACTACGTTGAGGTTAAACTTATGTTAAGCAATTTGAAGAGCTAGATCAACCCCTTACTGATATGGAACTTTCAATAAAAGAAAAAAATTATCTCACATTAAATCATTTTTTTATTACAGACAAAGTCCTGATTGTGTATTGAATCATATTATTTGATGACGGATCTCAAACTGTGGGTATTATAAAAACATATTAAATTTTTTGTGCTCTATTCACAACTTCAAACATTTTATCAATTTTAGCAAATCCTGAAAATACTTGCTTATGTTTGGGTGCCTAAAATCAGATCAAATTTAAGAATGAACTATGGAATATGATGAATGTATAGTAGGAAGAGTTGATAAGGCTCCATTTTATAATTTAATTTGAATTCCCTTTATCCCTAACAAGGAAGAAAATATTAGTTACTTAATACCAAGTGTGTTGATTTAAGCTGCTGTAATACCTGAAAGCCTTTTGTAACGTAGTTTAATTTTTAGGTTAAAATACTTTTGATATAATTATTGTTTCACGCAGGTACGCCAGTTGAATCCACAGAAGAACCTACATGCGACGAAAGCGAGGAAGGTATATATTTTTTTCATAATTCTTAGAATAATTACCTAGTATGTCCTCTGATAGTAATTAAAAACTGTGGTATTTTCTGAAGTGGTAAAGGCATGATGCATTATTGTTGCATTTAGGCGTCGTATATGAACCGATGTATATACAACAGTTTAGATCTTCGCTTTTAAGTTGATACGTTACATACATACTTACTTCTATTTAAACTTCTAAAAATCGGGTTCGAAGAAAAAATGTGCTCACTTATCTTGAGCTTCACAATGTTAGTTCCTTTTGATAAAATAATTTTTCCAATGAACCCAAATTAGTTTCCAATGAACCCAATTGAGTATCCGATGAACCAATTGAGTTTCCAATCAAGTTGTTTTCAACCATGCACTTCTTTATCGGGAAGAGTTTAGACATAAACTTTCGTTTTACGCCTGACAAAATATGGCTACATATAACTCATTCTGTCAAACAACGATTGGGAAGTGCAGGTATATACAGAATTATTTCACCAGTGGGGCAACCTTTCTTTGTGTTAGATACTTAATCGGAGATATATGTTTTCTCGATCTCGCCTGTTTGCTGAGATAGGCCAAAATGGGAAAAATGGCTTACCCTCTGCCCACCAGTATAGAAAACGATAAGAAATATACTTCTTATGCAAATCTACCTGTTTTATAAATGTAATATTTAATATGATAGTTCTTAATTTCTCGTATGCAATAAAAAGAAAACGATTTTAGTTTAAACGTTTTCGACAAAGCCTGTATTTAAGAAATGCTGAAAATATAAGCAGAATTTTAAGTAAATGATATTTAGCAGTACGTAAGATGCATGTTTATATACACTCATGTACAAAATTATCTTTACATACCCAAAAATGATGATATTCAATGAAATATCGAATCAATGTGATCCGTATTTGCAGGGAATGTGTGAAAACCAAGCCTAATAACATTATCATCAAAAGTAATCAAACGGTTGTGATATGCAAATCTGGCGTTACGCATCCAAGGGTGAATCAAGCGCTTTGCGGCAAACTGAATATTGAGTGGAATTTCTGCACATAGCGTTTGATTCAGTGTGTAGGGGCTCAAGCGGTTTGTTATGGCTTCGAAGTATCATTTGGAAGAATCTGTAAATGGCGAATTATCGGCCGTTTAGAAGCAGGCAGTCAATCATGGAAACAGTCACATGTCTGAATATTCCAAGATAGACAGTCTCTAAGCTATGGAAACAGTTTCAAAATGATGGAAGTGTTGTAAGAGGGCTGGACAAGGTCGGAAACGAATGACAACTGCTTCTGAAGATCGGTATCTGGCATTAACTGCCCGTCGTAACAGAAAGGCTACTGCTCGCCAGTTAAGTTCAGAGCTTGCAGCCGCCACTGGAACTGTTGCATCACGGCAAACAATATACAGAAGGCTTAATGAAAAAGGCCTTTATGCCAGAAAGCCGAGGGTATGTGTTTTACTGTCTTCACAGAAAAAGAGGGATCGCTTTAAATTGGTGTAAGAACATGAAACTGGCTGAACATTAATGGTCCCATGTTTCTCTTGCTGGATGTCGCGGTTTAGTTTAAACTGGTGATTCTAACATGTTTACATCTGGAGGGAGTCAGGAACACGAACGATCCCTCGAACATTGTGGAACGTGACCGTTTCGGTAGTGGAGGTGTGATGGTATGGGGTGGAATAATGATCGATGGACGTACGCCCTACACGTGTTCAGCAGCGGATCTGTGACAGGCCAGAATATACCGAGATGAGGTCTTAGATCCCTTATGTTAAGACTTTTCAGGGGTGCATATGGACCTGACTTTTTATTTATGGATGATAATGCCGTCCACATCGAGCAAACCTCGTTGATGAATTCCTTGAAAGTGAAGACATTAAGCGAATACCTTGGCCACCAAACTCTCCTGACCTTAACCCGATAGAGAACTTATGGGGACTTCCTTGGAAGAGGAATTGCACGTATACATCCTCCTCCTAGAGATGTAAATGCTCTGAAGACGGCATTGCTGGAAGAGTGGAGATTAATTCCCCAAACTGTGGTTAACAACGTTATTTCCAGCCTTAAAACACGTTGTGACATGTGTGTACAATCAGGGGAGATCATATTCCATATTAAATTCGTAAGACTTAATTCTTTTTCTGAATTATTCCTTTTTTTCTTAACTCTCTTTGTCACACTTTATTGCCATTTTTCTTGTTTCATGCTACAATTTTATACCATATGAGGTGATCTTATCTTCAATTTTTTTTCTTTTGCATTTATGTGTCATCATGTTATGTATGATTCCACGAAAATTCATTAAATTATAAGTCATACTCTCTGAGAAATCCGTGAATTTATGCATGTAAACATAATTTTGGACATGAGTCTATTTTGCTACCCGCTACATTCCTTTCAATATTGCACTTAAACATCTTTTTTATTAAAGTATAACAATGAAACTACGTTACGCTTAAACTTATGTTAAGCAATTTGAAGAGCTAGATCAACTCGTTACTGATATGGAAATTTAAATAAAAAAAAGTATTTCACATTAAATCATTTTGTTATTACAGACAAAGTCCTGAATGTGGTATTGAATCATATTATTTGATGACGGATCTCAAACTGTGTGTATTATAAAATCATATTAAAGTACTTGTGCGCTATTCAAAACTTCAAACTTTTTATCAATTTTAGGAAATTCTGAAAATATTTGCTTATGTTTGGGTGCTTAAAATCAGATCAAGTTTAAGAATGAACTATGGAATATGATGAATGTATAGTAGGAAGAGTATAGTAGGAAGAGTTGATAAGGCTTCGTTTTTATAATTTAATTTGAATTCCCTTTAGCCCTCATAAGGAAGAAAATATTAGTTACTTAACACCAAGTATGTTGATTTAAGCTGCTGTACTCCCTGTACTGCCTTTTGTAACGTAGTTTAATTTTTAGGTTAAAATACTTTTGGAATAATTATTGTTTCACACAGGTACGACAGTTGAATCTACAGAAGAACCTACATGCGACGAAAGCGAGGAAGGTGTCTATTTTTTTCCATAATTCTTACAAATAATTACCTAGTATGTCTTATGATAGTAATTAAAAACTGTGGTATTTTCTGAAGTGGTAATGGCATGATGCATTATTAATGCATTTAGGCGACTTCTATGAACCGTCGTATACACATTACTTTAGATCTTCGCTTTTAAGTCGATACGTTAGATACATACTTACTTCTATTTAAAGTCCTAAAAATCGGGTTCGAAGAAAAATGTGCTCATTTATCTTGGGATTCACAATGTTAGTTCACTTCTGATAAAATAATTTTCCAATGAACTGAAATGAGTTTCCAATGAACCCAATTGAGTGTCCAATGAACCCAATTGAGTTTCCAATGAAGTTGTTTTCAAACATGTACTTCTTTATCGGGAAGACTTTAGACCTGAACTTTCCTTCTACGGCTCACAAAATATGGCTATATATAACACATGCTGTCAAACAGCGTTTGGGAAGTGCAGGTAGACACAGAATGAATTCGCCAGTGGGGCAACCTTTCTTTGTATTACACTCATGTCCATAAATTAAGGATAATTCGGAGTCGCGCGGAAATCGAACTCTAAAATAAATACATCACATGTAAAATCACTACACACATCTTCAAGAATCATATGCAAATTTCAGGAAGTAACTAGATGACACCGATGGTACGTCACAATGACGAGAGTGTAAGAGAGTGATATATAAGGAATACAGGCAAAGAAGTAAAATTATTCGCAAGCGCTTTATAAGCATTTCAGTGCAATAACCGAACAGTTATGACACAAAGGACGCGTATGGATGATTTTTGACGTGGTAGAATTATCGGCCGTCTGGAAACTGGGCGTATTCAACTGGAAGTATCAGACGAACTTGGAATTGCCCAGAATGTCATCTCCAGGCTTTGGCAACGATTCCAATATGATGGTAATGTGAGTAGACGTTACAGCACAGGTCGCCCCAGAGTTACAACGCCGAATGAGGACCGGTATTTGGCAGTTACTGCCAAAGAAACAGGCGGAGCACAGCCTCAGACCTGTCTCATCAGCTGTCTTTAGCCACTGTTACGACAATCTCAAGGCAGACCGTGTATAGTCGCTTAGGGCAGATTGGTCTATATGCTCGTAGACCTGTCAGATGCGTTCCACTTACTGTAACTCACTGTCGCCCGCGGTTAGCCTGGAGTAGAGAGCATGCATTGTGGACACCGCAACAGTGGGCTTGTGTGATGTTTTCCGACGAGTCCAGGTTTAGCTTGCAGTCTGATTCTCGCCGGACGTTCATATGGAGAGCTCCAGGTACCCGTTACCAACAAGAAAACATCATTGAACGACACCGTTACGGTGGAGCAGAGTGCTCGTTTGGGGTGGAATTATTCTGGGTTCCAGAACTGACCTGCATGTTCAAATTGGAACCATCAGAAGCCAAATCTATCGGGAAGTCATTGTGGAAACATCATGTACGTTTGTTTCGGGGCGCCATGGGCGCACTTTTTGTGTTTATGGATGACAATGCCCTTCCTCACCGTGCAAACATCGTAAGCGAAAGCCTTCAATCGGAGGATATCACCCGTATGGACTGGCCAGCATTCTCATCGGACTTGAATCCAGTAGAGCACGTGTGGGACATGCTTGGCCGACGAATTGCAGCCCGTCACCCTCCTCCTACATGTCTACCGAAACTTCGAAGAGCATTGCTTTTTGAGTGGTGTAATATCCCCCAAGATCAGATCGATAATTTGATACTTAGCATGCCTAGGCATTGTACGGACTGTAGTGCATCGTCTGGGAGACATACAATGTATTAACAATCCTACGAACCATGTAATATTGGTTTTTTTTTGTTTTTTTTGTAATTTGCTCCAGGGAGAAAAAATCGCTAATTTTTTAATAATATCAAACATATAGCATCTGTTTTGCTCTTAACCTTTTGTTTAATAAATAAACTTTACAAATAAGTCAAATTTCTTTTGCTTCAAACT